TAGAAAATTATTTCTATTATTTGGAAATCGAAAAATCTCGAGCTATTTCTTGTATTGGAAACGTTATGCGTGTAGGACAAAGATGCAACTTTATTGCGAAAAAATCGCATCGTCTAATTAGGAATACGAGAAAAGTTGTTCGCGTGCTTCACCCCGCGAGACTATTAAATAATTCGTCAGATAACAGCAAGCTACAACCGCACGAAGGCTTTCGCTTATTAATTTCTCTTCCCGCGAGGATGATAATTCACGTTGCGTGGTAGCATTATAGATAATCTTATCTCAAGTCAGGAATAAAAATCAAATGGCTAATGAGTAAAGTTGGCAATTAGAGTGATAATCAACCTAGTAATGTTATGTGTTGATGAGTTGCAAACTATAATATTCGATGTACTCTACTGATCAGCAACTATAAGTATTATACAACCGAATATACCTGTATATATGCTATTTATAATAATAAGATAATCTAGACCGCTATATGGATAAATCAAATAAGCAAGGAAAGGCCCAGATTTTGATTCCTAATAATAAATAATATTTTTATATATATATAAATTCTAAATAATCTTTTAGCTATATAAACTGCGCGCCGCTTACTATCGGATTTGAAACGCAATGAGATATAAACTGAAACTGAAATAATATTATCTCTCTCTCTCTACAATTAAATTGATTATCAATTTGATAATGATGTTACTAGCATCTTAAGAACCTAATTAAAATCTACAGAATTTGTATTTATGTACACTGAGAGAAAAAGTTGTTAACTTGACTAAACGCGTTTAGTTTGTAATGATTATTTAGTTCAAATATTTATATATTATATATTAACCAAATCTTGTAATTTTAAACATGTTATTTGATTGAATTAACAAATATTTACTTGACAACGCCCGTGACTGTATTTAATTGAATCAACTAATATTTTTTTTAAACAACAATTTTTTTTCTCAATGTATTTATATATAAATACAAATAAGTGCTATTTATACGTATGATATTTATACAACTGGTACCGATATACAACCGATATACATAAATACAACCGATATTTATTATTAATAACACTATGTTATATAATGCCAGAAAAATTAATATTATTATTAATAATATTATTGCGTGGAAAACGTTTTATTAGAATAATTTTATTACAAAGTTGCATATTTCGAACGTGTGAATGACGTTTAGAACAGCAATAATTATTGGACGAATTATGGTTTGTATCGACATCAAACGGAAAGTATTAACAAATGGAATATATCAACAGTAGTTCATAATGATCATAGTAATTACAAACTGTGCTATTAATCAATATTTGCATGGAGCGCATATTTCACAAACAAAGAACCTCATAGATGTCTTATACACAGCGTGCAAGTTGTTAATTTGCATAATTACTCCATAATCATTTCTCCCTGTAAATCGTTATCATTGAAACTCGCAGAGCGTTGTTAATTTCTAAAGGTGGCTCAAAGTTACACAGGATTTAATAATCTCAGATTTAATAATAGATATACGCCGCATAATTGTAATCCTCTTTAAATATTTGAGTGCTAATCCTCCAAAAGTTGTCGGAGAGCCACGGCGCGCGACAATTCCATCATAATTTCTGCGGCTACGCCACGTCGCGCCGCGCCGTCTCGAAATTCAAATCGAGCACCGCAAACGCCTCTGATAATTAGAAAGTTCATTACCCCGACAACAGAGTGACAACGGCAGAAACCCGTATCTCCACTGTTGCAGCTTGACGATTCTATGAGGTCTCTCAGCTTTACCGCTTTAGACTGGCGTCTATCTATATTGGTATCATCGGCAGGTATCCGCCATTGATGGCAAAGCCCACACGCACTATAGAAAAGCATCCTACGTTCTACGACAGAGACTCACTCGCAGATAACAGTATCAATTGTAACTTAAAATACAAAGCGTACATAATAAGCAAGGCGATTGCAAATACCTCATCCGTGAAAAATGTTTTTTTTTTTCTTTTGAAACGCAGCATTCTTGTCTTTTCGTCAATTCTTATCATTTTGTCGCGTTACACAGGCGGAACGTGACTGTTTTAGATTTAACATCAGGACAAACAGGATTATCACGTTTCAGATTACAGCAACGTCGCCCGATTCGATTACGCATTATGAGATTTCGCGAAACGGTGTGTCAAAATCACACAATATATTTTAGGCACAGGACATGTCCATAATATCGTTATCGGTTAATGCGATTTTCACGTAACATCTTCGTCGTATAAGATACTAGCTATATTAGGTTCATTATTTAATGAAATTACAACAGAGTAAAACTCTCTTTTTCTCAAAGTTTATAATCGACTCACGTGTATTTCTCCATGTGATATTACATATGATACAAATATAAACACGAGGTACTTGCTCGCAAAAATTTCGTTTTATTTGACGATCAAAGGCAACGCGTTTTCAGTAGACAAAATCGATTTTAAATTTAATTAGAAGAAAGAACACATTCCCTAAAATATCTTTTGCCAAATTTTATACGTTTGCGCGTCACATAATTCGTTTCGTATATTACAATAGTTAACATATCGCACTGTCAGTGGCAGCAAGCTTATTCCATAAAACGTTTATAAGTTGCGACATGCGACGACCGCGACTGGCACAATGTCGTCCCGAGTAATATCATTATTTTGCTGCGCCGTGGAAGTTATTACGAGACACGATTCACTATTGCACGTCGAACATTCTTCCTCGGATTTATGTCGTCATCATCGTTTCGCTGGAAATTCCGTCGGAAAAGTTGACGCCATATATCTGGGAGAGAAAGATGATAATTGGAAAATAGTATGACATTTTGATGAACCTGACGAACATCACACACACGGTCCAACCTCGTCATTATCTTATTCGTTTCACTACATACATTATAGATACCATTTTGATATGCAGTTCGTGAAATAATATCTGTGGAAATGACGTGCGAGTTCACCGGGACGAGAAAAGATATTTAACTTTCTATTTTTCCTTCTGTGAAAGAGGTGACCCACAAATATAATGTTGCTAATAACGGACGCCTACGATAAAGCGTACAATTTAAATATCGGGAGTAACCTGAAATTAGCTCTTTAATCTTTCAGCAATTTATAAAATGGGAGGAATAATACTCAACGCGTCGATTCTACATTTAGATATGAATGGAAAGTCTAATTGCAACGCGTTTTGCGAAATAACCAAGCCACTTTATTCATGAATAAATAAATTGAGGCAGCACAATGTGTTACTACTTGGCCTAAGTACACAACCGCTTGATGCTTAAATATTGCGGTAGCATTTGTTACCGTGCGAACCGAAAATGTTAATTACATTCTAACCACAATATCGTCCGTGGTTTAACTAAGCATGAGTTTTAATCCCAAGCAATCTTCTGTGTTCAATTTGCACACGAGTAAAGGAAGATATTAAATTTTGGCCGTTTTTGGTTAACACAAGTTTCAAGATATATAAATTATATTAAAGAACCACTTAAATGGAATCAAGTGGTCCATTTATCTTGAGGAAACATCAAGAACACGAGAAAAATCGTAATTGAAGATAATAAATACATTATCACATTTATTATTAATAAAAAGTTAAGTAAGACATTAAGAAAGCAATAAGGACTGTATTGTTATTTAAACATGTATAATTTGAACAAAATAACCGTTTTAAATTCTGTCTTTAAATAGCGAATACGCTTATGAAGTTATACGTGTTTAAGTTCTAATAGTACAGTTTTTGTTGCTTCATTTCCGAGATATCTTACTCAAATTTTGGATTTATTGTTTTTAACATATAACGATTTCTTTCTTGTTTCCAATGTTTTTCCGTGATAAACGATACATCTTGGAACTTCTTCATGTTAGTTGAAAAACTTAACATTCTTTATATATTCCAAAGAAGTCGTAACATTGACGAGCCTAATTAGAAGCAGACATAATTACTTTCATATATACATTATTATAGAGTGGCGCACGAAATGTTCCATTTAATTGTCCCATTAAAATTGTACTTTTGAAGTATCGGGTTTTTTGAACAAATTTTGAACTGTAGAAATTCTATTAGGTGAGATATCACAAGTCTGAATTAGACAGAGATAAAGGTGCACTAGTTTGTAAAATGGCGGACAATGGACGGTTAACTTAAAACATTGATCATAAAATGGAAGTTGTATTCTGTTGGTTTTCATGAAAACAAAGCGTGGCAGAGACTCAAAAACATTTTCGTGCAGTTGTTATTTGAAAATTTGTATCGGAAAGAAATCAAATTTAAAAGCGTTATGAGTCAAATAACAATTAAATATTAAATATCATTTATTGGCGATATTTTCTAGGATTTATTTGTTAATTCTATACTAATTTTGTTAAAAATAAATGTATTATACATAAAAATAGTGTGACATTTCACGTATCCTACATTTCACATACTGGTGTATGCGGCTTCACTTACGATCCAATTTTGATAATACACGTGATGTCACACAGAATTTGCTCAAACAGTAAAAAAAAACCAGAAAAATATACTCCACAAGTATTATACTTTTAATAAGATAATTAAATAGTATGACATTTTGTGTGCCATATATATTAATCGATACGAGAATGGATTGTAACAAAAGAATTATACAACAATCGAAACCTATCAAAAATGCGAAAAACAATGCAAAGAATAATGCAAAAATTATTCAGAATTTTTCCACAAATTTTTTTGTTTTTCACATTCTCTTCCCATCGAAGGCATTGGAACTCGTATAAAACAATGTTACATAGCACGAATTTTCCTCACTATGGAAAAGGTCGAAGGTAACTCCTGCATGGATATCCCTAAAAAAAAAAAAAAAAATTTCTATCCTATCCATATCAAACAATTACCTCGAACCACCCCTATAGAGTAGTAGTTATCTCGTAACACGCCTCGAGCGACACACAAACGCGCGTTGGCAATCGTGAGACCTTCCACTGAACGCTGAAATGGCGTTGTGTGTTCCAGCAGCATCCGAACGCGATCAACAATAGCGAAACGAGCGTGGGCGGTACGTCGGGTGCGTGCGGAAGCATCCCGGCGCCCGGGGAGGCTGGATGCAGCAGCAGAGTTGGCAGCAGCAGCGGCGTCGGCGGCAGCGGCGGTGGCACAGGCTCTGGACAAGGCTGCGAACAGACCCACGGAGGCCCGTCCTCTCATTCACGGGAGAGCCACGCAAAGTTTCGACACGGCCTGCTGCAGCTTATGATCCACACGATCGATCCGCTCCACGACGGTCAGTCCCGCGCCGGTATACCAACTCCACACTCTATCACTCTCGCTTGCAGCTTATGCTTTTCTGTTAGCACGACGATTACTCGTTTTTTTTTTTTAATGCCTGTTCTATGTTTATTCTATTATGTCGCTCGCGCTCGTTCTGCATCTCTCATGCGTGCACACCCGCGTGCGCTTATCGCTCCGTTCGCCACGATATCGAATATTCACGTTCCATCGCGTCGATATCATGTTCAGTCGAAAGCCCAATGGTAAAACGGATGTCGCAATTTCGCTGTAATTGTACAAAAGTCTGACCTGCTCAATTAAACTGTTACGATGGACGTCACTTTTGATAACACTTGCAAGATAGATTCATGTATTTTTCATAAGCTTCGGTATTTCGAAAAATGTGGATTTGTTACATCGGGAAAGATACACATACGCTATTTCTTTTGTTTCTTATTTTAATAATAATGCTTTATTTTCAAATACTTATTCAGAGCTATGAGATATCAGATTCTTGCTTGCTAAAATAAATGAACGACGTTAAAATAAATGGAGCCATTATTTAAAAAATCAAACCAAATTGAAGTGGTTGCAACGCGAACGCGTAGGAACGGCGATAACGACGAGAATTCCCACGAAATTTCAAAACGAATATTAATAAATGCTTGATCGAAGCCAATTAAGAATCTTTCGTAGCGGAGCGATGGCGAAACGCAACCCGACGAAATTTTTTTTTCTAGTAACACAATTTTGTTATGACTTAACGAGGTTTTTGATCATTATTACTACAACCGTTAATTAGCGTAGATAACAGCTGTGTTGTCTGTGATGTAATTACGCTACAGCATGAAATTTCAAACGCAATCAATCTATTAGCATGCAAAATCGCGATATCTTGGAAAATACAGTTGCATAATTGTGATGCTGTTCGATAACATTTTATTTGTTGCATGTTTATACAATTGATAGTCGCGACGCTTTTGTGTAATGCCGCAGGCAAGCTGAACCGACGGGCTTTCGGAAGCTCGTTCCGACGATGTATCTCTGAGACAGTCACAGAATTTCCGACAGCTCGACAGATAAAGTGTTTTTAAATGTAAAACTATGTGAGCGTTTAATAAAAAACCCCGCGGCTTACGTAGTAGTATAAGTACGTGCTCAAGGCTTTAATCTCTTCGGAAATTCTACTGCGAATAAAATTTCACTCTCGTAACTGAAACGCCGTAAAATTCAAATTGCAAAAGACTCCGCAGTTAACTCGAATCGGCTAATAAATTTGCAACTTTTAATATGATAAACAAATAATAATTTTCATAAGCTTAGTAAATTAGTTTAAAATGAATGCTAATATTTTTAATTTATCATTGAAATGTGCAGTTTGTATTCTACATCATTATTATAGAAAAGAACTTTCTCTGTGTCGAATGAATGTGTATCACTGTTTATAATTTTTGCACAGATTAATGTTCATATTAATGCAGAAATCTTGAAAAGCATCGTTTTTCTCTCCAATTCAAAGAAATTTATTTACTTATTTTATCATATGAAAGACAATAATGAAACTGGCTGGAGATATCCAAACAGAAAGAATCACGCGGAAGCGCATTACTTGGGGAGCTTCTTTGCAGATTCGTTCTAGCCGCATAATTGTCATATCGAAACTTATTGATAAGTAGAGCATCGTTCGTTCATTGATATATCACAACGACGTCTGAAATGTGTGTGAAATACGGACGGTGCCCACATTTCAGAAGATGCATGTTGATTTGACAACAACAGTTTCATGAATGACAAACGTAGCTATATAGATAGCCTTGCTATATTGAAAGCTTGTTTGTCAGAGATCTACAGCATGCATGTCATATCGATCGCGACGATAAAGAGCTCTTAACGCACGCCGCATGTTACACTTATTCTGTATGTTCCTCGATTTTTTTTTCCATATATTTACAGAGTTCAAGAGGACATAACCATCAATTAACGAATAATATTTTATATCGAGTTATCCTCTTCCATAAATACGCGAGACTTTAGCGACGTTGCATCTATGCGCGCTATGCAAGCCCGATAAAAACTCCCCCGTGCAGGAATTTTGTATTGAACGCTCTTAAAGCTTGATTGGTTTAAATTTCCACTGTGTTCGGGATGCGTCCAAAAATAGTTATTGATGACGAACGTGATCGCTGGGTCGTGCCTCAGGCTATAGCCGTCCGTTAATAAATAATTCGGCGGAGATTGGAAGCGCGTAGGAAGTCAATGCCATGATACTTTCCGTCCTAAATTATTAGCGTTATCGTCCGTTAACTGTTCGCAAACGTTTAGCACACACATTACGCTCAATTATATCCTTCACGGTATTAAATCGAATATTCTCGTGATTGGCATTTAAACGTCTCGTTAGTTCATGTCGGCGTTAAATTAGACTTTGATTTATCTTCTGCACTAAAAGACCTATTAAATAGACTCGTGCAATATTTGCTAATTAGAAAATACATTTATGAAAATATTCTCGGTTTTCTCTCTCCCTCTCTCTCTCTCTCTCTTTCTCTCACATAAATATTCCTATATCTAATCCTTTTCACATCGCCACGTATCTGTGGCCAAATATTTCATAATGCAAATGTTTCACATCAAATAAGCTTTTATGAATATGCGATACTCAAAGTACTCAGTGTTTATCATCATATAAATGATATTTCAACTAAAGTCCCAAACATAGACATATGTCATAAACATAGTGTTGCATAACGCATAATATAAAACATAAAAATCAACCAATCAAAATCTTTTATTTTATGGAAAGAAAGGAAGAACTTTAAATTGACTCATTTTCTTATACATTTTGCGTAGACAAGACTCGGGGTAGCCTTAGCCTTTTATAGGAAGAATTTTACCGAACAAATTCTGCTGTAATAGTGTAGTTAAACAACGAAAACTTATTTAGAGTTAATTGTATAATTTAACGTAAATTTTAATTAATTGCCACATTGAGCCTTTCAGTAAAATCTGCACAAGTACAACAATTGGACTACATAATTAATCAATAAGGATTCCGTCTAATATATCTGAAATGAAGCTTGGCTTATTTGCAATTATCGTTATATATATTATATAAACCGGCCACGAGCGGATTCTGCAGAAACGGTATCCTTCCATCTGGGTTCTCGAATACCTAAATTGACGATTTCCGCGAACGTTGAACAATCATATCCAACATTTCCGATTATTACGTCAAATCGCGACTAAACAAACGGACACGACAGAACAGAATAAAATCTCATTTTATTCAGGGAACGTCAGATGTGTGAGAAAGGATAACAAGATACGCACTCAATCGCGATATATCAGCTCGATCAGAACGTCGGAGGATTAAGTGCGCGCGATACGACGCGTGAAAGCACCGCTTGGTTCCAGTCGGGGGTCGAAGAATAAATGCGAGTCCATTCCGTGATATTTCTCCCTTGTTCGCGGTTATCCGTGTACATTTATAGACCGAAGCGTGTGCGGGCGCGCGAGACGGCGGACATTATTTTACCGTAGCCCCACGGTGCTGCACATGCGGTATTAACAAAAGCATTGGAGAAAACATGATAACGTTTCCCCTTTCTAAACGAGTCGGATTATCGGGTTGGTTGTTGCGACGCAACGACTCACCCAGTTTTCCGCTCATGTCCCAGACAGAATCTTGCACATCAATCTTGCACTGATAAACAAATAATGAATAAAATAGAACGCTCAGTGCGTGAACAATTGCACGAGAGAGGAAAATCTCTGCAAAATGTTGCTTAAAGCCGACGTGTGATATATCATTTAAGTTTGTTTTATAATTCCGATTATTACTGTTAATCCCGATGCAAACAGTTAATTATTATTTAATACATTACTCATTTTCCGAGTATTTTCAGCCAAAGGTGAACGGAATTTTTGGGAAAATACGGGCTTGCTGTTGACAACAAATGCCTCTCTTTGTTAGGCCCGTGTATGCACCATTAATACGGATCGACTCAAAAATAAGGACAGCTCGTATATATCAGCGTTCAGTAGACAAAACGCGGGCAGTGACGGGTTGCAGAGGGCTGCGTGAAAGAGGGCTGTCTAATTGATGGTTCTTTTCAGTGGCGCGTGACCTGACCCATTTGTGCGACCGTCTTCGGCTTACACAGTACATACACATGCAGTACGAAATCAATCCTATACGAGGTTGCCGGGTTCTGAGATTAGCTCGTGGATTAAGATCTCTATCAGCCACACCGCGCGAGAGCCTCTCTCTATACTTAATTTAGAGCGGTTAACAAACGCAGCGAGAACTCGTTTGAGAGCCATAGAAAGGGTTAGATATGCGTTCCTAAGGATAAGCTGTGCGATTATCCGATTAGATCGATCCGATAATCCTAAGCGCCAAAAATGCTTCCAGAGAAAAAAAAATTTCCGGTGCGACGACACGTTTGGGAAAGTTTGTTTTCCCACAATTTCAGCGAAAGTGTTCATTCGAAAGTAACACAATAACTATTAATTATGAGAAGCAATTATATTATATTATAAGAGAATTATTGCTAAAGAAATTTTCATTGAGAATAACACTAGTTTAATTACAGTTAAAAATTGTTTTGGATTAGGTGAAGGTGTGTTTCTTATAGATTTTTGGATGCTGAAAACGATATTCCAAACCAAATTTTAGCACATTAAATTTCCGAAATAATTAAGTTTTAAAATGGCTTTCGTAATATTTGAAATTTTTTTGTAAATAGAAATTAACATTATATTTAAATTCTGTTCGGAAGTCATAAACGTTCATTTCCTTTAAAATTATATTTTTTATTTTAATATCTTTTTTTAGTCATGTTATGAAGGATTTAAGTGTAGAGTTTTACTAAGATAACAAATTTTTCACCTATGGCTTCTAATCAGAATTTCAATATAATTTTTTTTTACAAAAATATTTCAAACATTACAAAAAGTCATTTTTAACATCATTAAACCTCAATTATTTCGGAAACGCAAAGTGCTGATGAAATTTGGCTCGCAATA